TCCTGTGTTGTGCCAACAGTGAAGCATCCTGAGACCATCCATATGTGTGGGGTTGCTTTTCAACCAAGGGATTGGGCTCTCTCATAATTCTGCCCAAAGACACTGCCATGGATAAAGAATGGTATCAAAACTTCCTGCTAGAGTGACTTCTTCCAACGATCCATGAGCAATTTGGTGATGATCCGTGCATTTTCCAGCATGATGGAGCACCATGTCTCAAAGCAAGAGTGATAAAGAAGTGGCTCGAAGATCATTACATTGAAATTTTGGATCCGTGGCCAGGCAACTCCCCGGATCTCAATCCCATAGAGAACCTGTGGTCAGTCCTCAAAAGGCGAGTGGACAAGCAGAAGCCCACAAATTGTGATCAACTCCGAGAACTAATACGGCAAGAATGGATCACCATCAGTCAGGATTTAGCCCAGAAGCTAATATCCAGCATGCCAGAGCGAAATGCAGAGGTTATGTAGAACAAGGGTCAACACTGTAAATATTGACTCATTATATATATATTTTTGCCAATAAAAGCCTTTAAAACTTATGATATGCTTATCATTGTTTTTCAGTATACCATAGAAACATGTGAAAAAATAATCTACAAATACTGAAGCAGCAAACTTTGCAAAACACAATTTATGTCACTGCCAAAACTTTTGGCCATGACTAAACGTGAATGTGCCTTGTTTTCTTTATGTAACCGCACTTCTCCTTTCTATCCAGATGAGGGCGATGGCTTCAACCCTCTGAAGATTGAAGTGTTCCTGCAGACACTTCTCCATTTGGCTGCGAAGTCTTTCAGTCATTCCTTCAGTGCCCTGGCCAAGTGAGTATCTCCTGCCAAACCCCACACAGGCCTGCCAGCGGCTGGCTCCGTGTTCCCTCTCCTTCTGCTTACAACCGCTGCCTGTAATTGCTAAAAGCACAGATCATTGAGAACGTATGAAAGCTTGTAAAATGCTCAGGTGCCGTTCTTCTTGTAAATGGCAATGGATGCATTTCTTTTCTCTCTCAGGTTCCATGAGGTTCTGAAGAACCTTACAGACAGTGATGAGGGGAAACTGCACATCCTCAGGGTTCTGTATGAGTTCTGGAGGAACCATCCTCAGGTGGGATCAGTCAGACGTCTTATTTTATATGTTGTATTGTCTTATTGAACACCAGCCGTGGCATGTTGTCGATGTACTCTTTCAGATGACCTCCGTGTTGGTGGACAAGTTGATACGGACCCAGATCGTGGACTGTGCAGCTGTGGCCAACTGGATATTTTCTCCTGAAATGGCTCATGATTTTACCAGGTAAACCTGCAGAACGCACTTACCTGTGCAGGTGAGGTCATTGCAGCTGTAACTGATTTATGTTCATTGGGTCTATGCAGGTTTTATGTGTGGGAGATTCTACATTCGACCATCCGGAAGATGAACAAACACGTGCAGAAGATCCAGAAAGAGTTGGATGAGGCAAAAGAAAAGCTGGAGAAGCAACAAAACAAAAAGGTAGAGAAACAAATATTTTTGACTGCCAAGACACTTGTGCATGTGGGCTTTTGTTCAAACCACACAGCATTCTGATTTGTTTTTTGCAATCCTGATCTTTGGAATTGACTGTCCTCACTGTTACTTTTGTAAGGGCTTACATTGCATCATTTGTTTGTGCAGTGCAGACAGTTAATATCTGGAATGTCAACATTGGTTGCTGTAGTAATAATGTAGGTGTCGGCCTCAAGCCAACAGACTTTCTCATCCAGCAACTAGTGAGGATAGACCAGATGGACAACTGGAAATTTGGCTTCTGGTTGTGTCCGTCACAATGTCTAGCCACAGAGTTGAATTCATGAGGTGCCTGAGACAACATATGCTGTTGAGGAGGGATTGCTTTAATATCCTACCCAGACACTACTTTCCAAAAACTTCTTTCATTCAGACAAAAACAAATGTCCTATACATATGTAAATGTATTTCAGACCACACATTACGATGCTTGGAATCTTTTATTGCTTTTCAGATTATGAAAAAAAAAATGTCACATTGTTTCCCATTCAAATATTTTCCCATCTAAAATCCCATTATTTTAGATTATTTTTATCCTTATGTCATCTTTTTTAATTTAGCTTTTAATTAACTTTTTTAGATTATCAATTTTATTTAATTTTTCATATTTTAAACCTTTTATTTTACTGTGTATTTGTGAAAATGAGTATTAATATTTAATCGTTACCTATGCTTCGTCAATATTACGATTATTTTAATGTGCCAGTGAAAATATTGGCTTTCTCCAGGTCGTTATCACTTTATTACAATGATTCAAAATTAAAACAACAAATGTTTACTTTCACAAGCCGTCAAGTATTTCGAGCTTGCAGCAGGAAGTTTAAAGCTTAGAGACTTCCATACGTCATCCACCCACAGCGTCTTCTGGGATTTCTCATTGGTCGATTCTCTCAAGTGTGCATTCGATGCATCCTAAGTATCAATAACAAATCTGTGTACTTTCATTCATCCTCTGTACTTGCGTTCTTTATTATTGGAATTGAACTTTGATGGTTGATGATGATGTAGTACGAGAACACAAGGACGCACGGTTTCTCTTTTCCTGTAGCAGCGGGACAGCGGCGATGAAGAGGACATGGAGAAGAACAGTGAGGATGAGGAGGGTCAGTTGGAGGAACAGATCGAGAGGCTGCAGGAGAAAGTCGAGTCTGCCCAGAGCGAACAGAAGAACCTTTTCCTTGTTATATTCCAGGTGCGTCCATGACAATGCAGATCCATTTTATCCTGATGTAAAAAGCTTTTTTTGTTAATACATTTGTTATAGAGGCTGCATGACTACATTAAAAAAAAGCTGCAAAAGATGTGTCCCTGTTAATGTCTCAACTCCTTTTACACCTTGTTCCTATTTGTCAGAAGAGAATAAACATTTCATTCTTTTCATGTCTTTCTCTGTGTGTGTCTTTTGTGTTTCATTATGCTATTTGAAGACAGTGCCTGGAGCTAAGAGATGACAAGAACTGTTGTTATCTCTCTTTCTCTTTCAGCGCTTCATTATGTTACTGACAGAGCACCTGGTTCGCTGTGAAACGAGTGGCGTAGACATCAACACCACCTGGTACAAGAACTGCATCGAGAGGCTACAGCAGATCTTCCTCATGGTAGTCCTGATCCACTTGTCTATACTGGGTTTTGTTGGTCATTAAACATCCCTTATTTATTACCTTCAATCTTCATTGTCATCCACAGCATTATGTGATCATCCAGCAGTATATGGGCACCCTGGAGAACCTGCTGTTCACCGCTGAGCTCGACCATCATATCCTGGCTGTATACCAGCAGTTCTGTGCTCTTCAGCTCTGAATTCCCACAATGCATCACTTCAGACGGTCACACCTGCCTGTTTATGTGGCATTTCAAGGTTTAGTGACATCGATCGGGATCATTGGAGATGGTTGTTTTGTAAGTAGTGATATTGGGAAATCTCAGACCCTTTTTGGGGCCCTTGATATGTTTATGTAGTATTTCTTTTTTCTTTTCATTTTTTTTTCTTTCTTTAATTTTTCATTGTCATCGGCTCTGTGGTAAGTGTAGATCTTTTAAAATGCCTGGTGTTTAGTAAACCATGATGAAGAGCTTAGTTTTACTCAAGCAACTATGGTATGAAACTACTCATTTTTATGCGTTTTATGTCATTTTGATTGAAAAATTATTGTCGAGTTGGGTTTCAAGTAATTCTGCATTATCAATGGTGTGCCTCTTAAAAGCAGATTGAGCTCTTTTGCCACTGTAATGCAGTGTTTTGAATGATAAAATGTATTTTTTTTTTTACAAAACAAAAAAAAAATTGCCCCTGCTCATGTCTTTTGTTCTTGCAAGCATCTACGAGAAAAGAGGATGTGGACTGACATATGATCATTTCTGGCTATAGCTGACAATTGTTCAAGTCCTTTGTGAACTCCTCAAACAATTAAGATAAAATATAACAGACAGCCAGATGATAAATATAAAAAATGACTTTTTCTTAAAAACAATGTTCTTGATTGTATAATTAATTTGATTAACATACAAACAAATTAATGTTTTGGTCACATTAGCAGGAATTGTAAAAGATAATGTGCAGAATAGGTTTTGAGTGGTTCCTAAGCACCCTTTTGGGATTTATGTAAATGACCATCTTACTGTACACTGTCACGCTTAGTATTACATGGCAATTTTGCTAAATAAATAATTGGGCATTAAATATTAGTTGAAAATACTGTACTTCACTTAAAGTAACTTACTTTTTCTCCCAATTCTCTGAAAAACAATATATAACTTTAAAGAAAATTGTGAATTGTGAGATGTAAACTTGTAGTTGCAAGAAAAAAAAAAATCAGTGGTGAGAGAAAAAGTTGCGATGAACTTTTATTTTTTTTATTGCGTTGTAGAAACAATAAAACAGAATTGCGAGAAAGAAAAAATGAATTCTGAGTTTATACCTCACAATTCTTTTTCTTGTAATTGTGAGTTTATATCTATCAATTCTGAGTTTATATCTTGCAAAAAAGTGAGATGTAAACTCAGAATTGCAAGAAAAAGTCACACTCACTTTTTTATTCCATGGTGGTTATTCCAGCAATCCTTCATTTCTACTCCCACTTTAGGTAGAAAGTTAGTCCTAGGGACATTTTATTGCACTCAAATATATCTCTAATTTCATAAAATAACTACAAGCCTTAGTTTCCGACTTTAAACATTCAACAACATACTGTATGTAGCTCAAAATAACTACATTATTAAAAAAAATTATTTAATGCATTATGTATAACAGTTAGAAAATCCCTGTACCATGTATTGCAATAAAAACATTTATGATTTGAGATTAATATTTGCATAAAACATTTGGTCTTGGTTACCTTTAACAGAAAAAAATGTTTTTGTGCATAACGAGTTTGGTTTTATGTAACATTAATTGTGTTGAGGTGGTACCACTTCTGAACAAAGTAGCATTTAAGACACATTTTCAGTGTTAATGAGGTAAAAGACTTTAAAGTGTGCATAAACACTGTCATCAGTGGTTTTTCTTGCCGTTAGTTCAGTCCGTCCTTTTATGCATCAGTGCTGTTTGCCCAGGTGTCTCCTCCTGTTGACTGGTCTGTCACTCTATTTGGTGAGGCTGTGGCTTCCGCACGGAGTCTCCGGTAATCCGTGTGGAAAAAGCCAACAAAGCAGCAGGTGCCCAGAGTACACAGGCCTGCCATCACCAGCACTGGCACTATGTGTGTGTGCATTTAGGAGAAAGAGCAAGAGAAAGAAAGACAAATGAATGCCTGGAGCTCAGCCCAACTGTATCAACTCATCAAGGCATCAAGCGACCAGGAAAAGCCAGAAGGCTGGATTAATTTGGACGTGTTCCCATTTTAAACATTTTCCCTACCCAGGAGGAGGAAGAGGAATTGAAAATTGTGCACGAACCAGCCACACTAGACTTTCAAAGCATGGTGGGAGTTGTGACACGGTGAAGGGAGGAAACTAATCACCGAATTAGTTTAGTAGTAGTAGAACACGAATAAGGCCATGCCTTTTACTGCATAACTGGACAGTAAACACTGCACTGCATACTATCTTTCAGTAAATAGTATTTTAACATTTCAAATAATGCAACACTTACCTGTCCAGCTCAAACTGGCATCTGTTCCGGTAGCACATACAGATAATGGAGATTCTGCCATTGGTTTGGCCAGAGCTTGTAGCAGGAGCAGATAAAGGGCAGCCTGAATTTGTCTGATTAAACATCACATTAAACACATCAGTTCAGTCTATAAAAAGTTAGTAAGCTTAAAAGCACTACTTACCCAAAAATGAAAAATTGAGCAAATTTACACACCCTCAGACCATCCAAGATGTAGATGAGTTTGTTTCTTCATCACCCTACTCCAGTCCAATTATGTCTTGTGAAGTCAAAATCTGCGTGTTTGTAAGAAACAAATCCATCATGAAGGTGATTGTTTTTATCAGCTGTTTGGACTCTCATTCGGAGGGCACCCATTCACTGCAGAGGATCCATTGGAGAGCAAGTGTAATGCTACATTTCTCCAAATCTGTTCAGATGAAGAAATAAACTGATCTTGGATGGCCTGAGATTAAGTACATTTTAAGCAATTTTTCATTTTTGGGTGAACTATTCCTTTAAGAAACACTTCTGAAACAGAATTTGTAAAAAACAAACAAACAAACAAAAAAACTTCTTAAAAACTGAAATAAAAAAGTTACCCAGACACGAAGATCAATCCAGAGGATGTTGCTTCACCCACAGGGTACGAGCATTCAACTCCGAGCTCCATTGCGATGGGATATACAGAGTACCCGAAGAATCCAAACCACGCACATACTGCACCAATGATGAACTTCTGCTCACTTAACTGGGAAACCTGATGGACAGCAGGACAACAACATTTCAGGTCAAGCACATATTAACAACATTGAAATCATTTACTCTACTCACCACCGCAAAAACCGAGCAGCCCAGTGATGTCAGACACATGTTTATTTTAGTGACTTCTGTAAACTTCTTGGTCTTGTCCACGTACAGGCCGAGGAGAAAAGCACCCAAAACACCGAATACAATAGCAACTGCACCACACAGTCCTGCAAAGTCCTGCCACATTAAACATGTAGAGACAGTTATCTTGACTTGACAAAGCTAACACTTCTAATACTGTACAGACTTGGCAGGTGATTGAAAGTGTTTATATAAACCATCCATCCATCCAGTTCAATAGCAGTATTAATGCTATGTTTAATACAAGGCTTTGTAAATCCAGCATTTGAAGTTAGCTAGTTAGTTGAGATTCAACTTTATTTCTAGTTATTTAACATATTATGGCACAGGTTGGATTTATGGTTTGAGGTAAATGTGGGTATAATTCTTTTTAGGTTCTTACATTTGAGTAGCCCTTAACACAAAGTATCTGCTCCAGTAAGGTGGAAAAGCAAGTGAATACCCCTATTCCTGAACCAAAACACACCAGCAGGAACACGTATGCTTTGTTTGTCAGCAGCTGCAAATAAAAGAGTGACAGAACGCAGTGAATCTCAGACAGCAGTACAAAATGACATAAACGCCACCTTTAATCAGAGGCTATATTTAATTAATTCTCGAAAAAAATGCACATTGCTCATGCAATAAAGTAAATGAGTTGTCATGTCAGTTTGTTTGAAACTGTGTATAGTACCAGTTTCACCCCCTGTAGAAAAGGTTCAGAGCTGGAGGTCACCATGCTGGCAGAAGGGGGTGTGGGGGGAACGCGTTCACGGATCCCCACTGTTGCTAGGAAACAGGCTATGGTGGCAGGTATAGCATATATCAAGAGCTACAAGTCAGACAGAGAGACGACGGGACTATAAGGGATGTGCATCATACAAGAAATAAAATTATTTTTTGCCCAAGTTCTGTCTTAAGCAGTCTTACCAGCATGAAAAGAGTATTGGTGTAACTAAGTATCATTGGAGAGAAGATATTCGCTAAGAGCAGCCCAACAGTATTAGCTGGAAAACAAAGGAGAAGAATATTACCATTCTACAGTAGGCTACAGGCATTTAAGTACCATGTAAAATATGAGCTGTAAAAAGGTTACCCATGGAAGCCATCATGTTAGCTGTGGCCCTCTGGTGATCAGGGAACCAGAGAGCTGCTAGCTTGGTAGGGGCAAAGATGACAAAAGGCTGGGCGAAGGCACACAACGTCTGGCCCCCCATGACCATAGGGAAAATGGCCCGCTCTGGGATGCAGCTCAACATGCCAATGACACGCAGGATAGCGCCCAACATGTTGAGCCATGAGCCCATGATTAGCTGTGTTTCAGAAAATAGGAAGAAAGTATATTTCGTAAATGTGATGAACATTTTCATCACAGCGGCTTTTTCAATAGGCTACATCCCAAATGATGTATTGTGTTTGATACCTTTCTGTGGTGGGAATGGCATTTTAAATAATTCAAAATGATACGTGTTAAGTAAATAATCAAATTTACTAAAAACTAAAATAATTTGATAACTTTTATTTTACGCTTCATAAATAACACAATTAAGTAATATTTTATTTAAAAACAAAAAGTGGATCCCATTGCAAGAAACAAAAAAAATCCACGTCCAGGCACTCACATAGCAGGCAAAATATAAAAACTTTAATTAGTTGCAAAATTATTGGTCGTGACGAAAATCGGTTTGCGCATCGGAAATGAAGTGCACGCTCGTTGCAGCTAGGTTCAATATACACTTACATGGTATATTTATATTATGTAATATAGCATAACGCTATATATTGTATCATTTTATTTCCTATTATTTTCCCACTTGGTTTAAGTGTTTCATCAGTTATCTATTTTTTGTTCGACTTCTGAAGTCTACAACAAGTGAATCTAATTACTGTAAAGACAAAATGTTTTGCACTTCAAGAACCAAGAGCACAAACACAGTTAATTTAATTGAAAACTATATGATCAGTTACTTCATTATTATAATATTATAACTTTATTATGATCATCACTGACCTTTATATAAACCTTTATTTTTTTTTAAAATGGCATGTTGTCACACTACAGTTTTAGGCCTAACTATAATTTCTGCCAAAATACCACATTTACTTAAGTTATATTTACAATAAAACTGTGATATTAGTCAACAACATTGACAAAGAAGATGCATTATTGATTAATTATGTTTTTCCCCCATAAGGAACAATAGCTTTAACAATGGTATTTGGCAAAAACTAATTATTATTCCTTTTTTTTTTTTTGGTAACAGCTGGAAAACGATATTTAACAATATAGATTTGACAGTATTATCTCTCTGTATACCGAGAAGCGCAGTCCCAGTGTGTCCAGCACCCATGTTGTGATCAAACTGAAGAAGACAGCAACCACTATATAGACTAGCGACAGCCAGTTGACCAGATTTAGAGAGACTCGCAGATATTGTGCTGTCTGGTCGGCCACAGGTGCAAAAGTCAGCCATGCCTGTGGAGAAATTGAACACAATAAAAATGAAGGTGTAGCTTCAATGTGTACATTATTCCGATATCTAGTCCACAAAAATACAACATTCAAGAAAATACTATATATTATGTATCTATGATATTTATAAATATGAAGTGCATGAAACTGGACCAGCTTGCTCATATGACAGTCTCAGTTCAACATTTAACTGCTGAAGCTGCAAAAAACAGGAACCACAGGTCAGAAGGGCCCCTCACATGAGCTAAATAAGACAAACACAGAGTGACGTGCAAGTGTATGAGCGGCAGTGGTGTAAATTTTACTGAGAAATTATACTTGAAAATAAATTATGGGTACAATTATACAAGTCAAGCCACATTCTAAATGAAATTTTAAGGAGTAAAAATATATTTTTATTTTCCTCCAGAATGTAACGGAGTAAAAATACAAGTATTTTGTTTCAGTGGTACTAGAGTAAACACTTGATTAAGAACATTTACTTGAGTACTTTATAGGACAAAATACATTGGCTGTAGTGAGTGAGTGTGTGTGTGAATGAGTGAGTGAGTGTGTCCCAGCACTGGGGGTTGCACGAGTTAGTGCACTCTCAGGGCTGGGTAGTGGCAGGAAGGGCATCCAGCATAAAACATGTGCCAAATCAGTTGTGCGGATCACTCCACTGTGGCAACCCCTGATAAAAGGAAGCACGAAGGATGAGAGAGAGACTTGAGTACTTTATAGCCCTACTGAGCATTATTCACAGTGAGTGCAGTGGCCATTTGCAGTGTTTTTGATTGTTCATTTGCAGTGATGTACACAATAGCATTTATTTGTTTGCTATCAACAATATTATATGTATGCAGCAGCATGACAGATGGCAGTCAGCTGATCCCAAAACACAATACAGTCGTTTTGTGCACCACTGCACAACTTACTGGGACCATTTTTCGCATTAATTTAAATGCATAGACGCTGTTTTCACAGTCAGTGTGGAATTCCTTTGTGCACTTGGTGTAACATAAGATGCTTTCCTAAAATGAACTGTCAGTTCTGATTGTACGTAAAAAATATTTTTGTACTAAAAAATTCTTAACACATGCCTGCAATCCAGAATCACATCTACTGGTTTAGGCTGTCATCAGATTTCCTCAAGATTGTAATCTTTAAATAAGCCCCGAATTACACCATCTGCTAAGCTTTAACACAGTGTGCCAAGACACGATGTAGATTTCTCATATTTCAGATGAACAGCTTTGGACGTCTTGGCCTTGTAACACATATACAATGGTGTCCGTGCAAATGACATGTCCCATGGGAACCAGGGGTGCATAATTAAGATTGACAAGCCCCTTTCTGGCACACGCCCTCTTCAGAGATAATAGCCTCGGGGGGGGACGTATCCATGTCCTTCTACAAATGGGCTTTTAGGAAGACCCTGTATGACCCTGTAGACTGAAGCCCCTAGTGGACTGATCACTTTAGAAAGTGTGAACATTTCCTAAATGGGTTCAACAATGGATAAATTGAACAACAGGCATCATAAATCAGTAGAGATGTTTTAATTGTATTTAGAGCATGATACGCTAATGAACTGATCAAATGAATTGCAATTAATCGCATGCTTTGAACCATGATTTGCTACTTTGCTAATGCAAGTCAGAGGCATGTGGTTGGAGGGAATTTTTCAGTTAAAACATTTTATTGGACAAAAATGTGGATATGCTTGAAGTGCAAGATGAGTCATCAATATTTTTAGTCGTTTTACAGGAAGTAGAGCACTGTAAATTGCGTAGGCTATATTTGTTAAAACATAACATAAAACGTACATTTTTATTTCATTGGATGTTTAAAGTAAACAACCCAGGCTGGAAGGGTTGGGAAGAGGGATTCATGACGTCATTATAAACAAAATGTGTTGTAGAGCCGTAAGTCAGTTGCACCTTCGGTTCTATTCGGATATATTTCCCTGGCATATTTGTACTTAACATAAAATACAGAACATTTTAATGAAAAATAAGGAAGACAAACATTGTTTCTGAAATAACGTGCACCGATGAATTGTGTACAAATAAGTCTACGTAAATGAATTAACATCCTACCATTGCGTTAGAACAGTTTAGCAGGCAGAGTACAAATAAGATGAACCATCTCCTTTTGTAAACTTTGAACTCAGCAGCCGTGTTTCTTGCGTCCAAGTGAGACCGACCATCTTCACTCGAGATCCCGATGAGCGCTTCAGTCTCCGCGCTTCCATCATCCATGATGACAAACTCGAACCGCAACCAGACCTCACGATCACATTAAATTAGTTGTAGCAACTCTTAAAAACTCAAACCGTCGTAAGCGGTGTATCCATTTGGGTCCAAAAACACTTCTGTTAATAATCTACACAAATAACTTAACCATTTTCCAGACAAACGTTTCTAGATTGTGAACAACTAAAACTCAAGAGCATGGTTATATGCTTTGTCTAGAAAGACCATTTTGGTTTTAGTTTCACATAATAAGCCGGTGAATGAGAGTTGTTAGGCGCCGTCAACATTACAACATTCATCCAATCCACAATCACTTCACCACTCCCTTCCACCCGTGACTCACTGTCATAGCGCCGGCCGGTTTACTGAAACTCCACACTTATCTGCCTAAAGTTCGGTAAGCATCAGCTGCATATTTCAGGTTAAGGTTAAGGTTTCCAAAACAGTCTAATTCAAAACAATGTCAACATTATTGCAAAGGTCAGATGATCGATCAAGGACTGTACAGACCTAAACAGAATTTATTTTCAGGGTGCATCACCATCCATCATCATCAAAATTATCAGCTAGTTTGCAACCAGATGTTGGTTTGTATTAATTGATAAACTAATTAAGTTCAAATTCAAGAAAATCGTTGATCCTTTTTTTGACCTTTTTCTTTTGATCTTTCTTAAAATTGATGTAAATACACAGTTAAAAATAATGTTGTTGGTAATTAAATGAGAATAATTAAAATAGTTTTTACTACTTAAATGAGTTGTTATCATACTATTTAAACTGAGCTGGATGTTGACATCACTGAATTCAATGATGAACTGTCTTTAACTGAAAAATTAGTGTTTACTATTGTCATTTTGCATTATTGACACACTATTTTCCTAATTAATGCTGTTCAGTTGCTTTGACACAATCTGTATTGTTAAAAGCGCTATATAAATAAAGGTGACTTGACTTGACTTGAATACAAACCGGACAGATCATGTCGGTATAATAATGCAAGGACCTGTGAAGAGGCCAGAATCTTTTAATTTTATTAAATTTGTTTTTATTTATTTATTATTTAGAAAAAGGGATTTGTGTCTCAAAAGCGTAAAAAATAAGTGAAAAAGTACCATACACTTGGGATGTGTTTTTATTGTAGTCTATATTTGTATAAATCGTATAATTAATATCTATCAGGATACATAAAAAAATGTAATTATATGATATAATGTATTTTTTTATTTAAAAAAGTTAAGCATAATCATTTAAATGATATTTACCTTGTAACTTTTTTCAAATGAATTAATCACATTAAATAAAGTATAATCCAGTGGCTTCAATCTGTCATCCACCCCTCCTCCCATCCACAAAGTGTGCGCATGCGCAGAGGCGTTCTTCAGTGCGCTGTTTCGGCCTGTTTCGGCACTGGCCGGACATTTTCGCCTCTTTGTTTTACTGATAGTGGATTTAACTCGGATTCAACCCAATATCCAGCGGACCGCTCTGGCCATAAACAGGTTTGTTCCTTTAAACTTGAACCGATTCCCGCTGATCATTGCACGTATGCGTTTCCCGAGCTTTCTTTCGGATGGCAGACGGGGAGTTTTTATTTATTCTTGCTGTGTTGTTTCCGCTTGATGGCAGCTCTGCATGGCTATACGTACTGTTATATGTGCGGTCGTGCTGTATATGTGTGTGTGTGTGTGTGTGTGTGTGTGTGTTTGGCGACGCCGGGCCCTGCAGCTCCTAACCGGGTCATCTTTTGTAAGAAGGGAAAAAGTGTAATTTAGTGTAGCTGGAGTTTCATAAGCATGCACTCCTGTGTCTGATTACAGTTCTTGTGTTGGTTAGTTCTCCTCCTCTTCCTCCTGCCTGGAATGTTCTTGAGAGCTTCCTGTCCATCATAATCATCATCTGCCCATCTGTGTGTTGAAAGTTGGGGTTTGATTCTCTGGCAGGTTTGCATGCAAGCTAAAATGAAATCTGGGACAGAGAAAAAGTTAAAGCCCAGAGGGTTTGTAGGGGAAGCATGTGCAAACCTGCACCCCAGACTCCTGGAGTAGGAACAACCAACAAGTCCTGCTCCATGTGTTTGGACACATTCACTTTTGTGAATGCTTTACATTATAGTTGGGGGGACGGCAAACAGGATATAGTTGTTACAGTATAGACAATTTTCTGTTGTCCCAAAATTGTGGGGGGACATGTCCCCCTTATGTCCCATGGGATCTACGCTATGCTCCTACATGATGGACGTATTGAGTTGTCATGTCTGGACATTGGTTGACGTCCACATTGATTTGGTTTCTCTTGAGAATCAGCTGTGAAATTTCTGTGTTCTGACTTTCTAATAATCATGTTGACCACTGAAAAGTGATTTATCCTATGTCCAGATGTACAGTATGTTGGTTTAGAGTGTTAAAAAACATTTTTTAATATTTTTAAATGTCTTTGACAGGTTCACACACACACACACATAGTCGCTGACATAACTAGTGAGTCAAACATTCATATGATGTTTCATTAATGCATGATTAATCGCTTAGTCAATATCATGCCTGTTGTCTGATTATTTGTTGTGATAGGCTGATGAAGTCATGAGACACGTGTTATGCTTATAAGTTTAAAACACTTTTATGTCCTTTAGTACTGGCTTAAGCATGTGGCCTATGGCTATTGCGCAGTCCTCTCTAATGTGCCAGAAACAGTTAAGTGGTTTTCAGTGAAAACAAAGCCTTTCAGTTTGTCCATGTTTTTAGTGCATATACCCAGAAAAGTGAGTTCTAATACTGGTCCAGCCTGCGGTCTGGCATTAAGCAGTGTAGACAGTTATTCACGCTGATGTGAAGTTATCTCACGTTAAACAAAATGAGTTTACTACTGAGCCGGTGAAATGTGACCCTGTTTTTGCGGAGGTGTTGGCTTACATTTACAATTCTGTAGATTTGATCAGGTGGATTGAAGGCATTAAAAAACTGAAAGCATCTTCTAGTTCTAGGTAACGTGTGATTCAAGTGTGAATTCACTGAGTTTTTTTTTTATGTTGATTCAGCTGTCACTTCATAAACTGTTAAAATATGTCATTCTTCAGTTTTGCTTTAACCATCTGTTCAGCTTAATAATTTAAGAGATTTTGTAAGCCTTTTTAAGAGATGTGATGTATCAAGGCTGATCTTTTTTTAATTAAAATTAGTTTGATTCTTTTTTGCTGAAAATATTGTTTTTAATTGGTGTCAACCAATATGTTTTTTTCCCCATAGACTCCAACATAGACTCATTGGAAAAATGTGCTCTGCCTACATTTTTGCAAAACTCCAATAACATACACTGAACAAAATTATAAACGCAACACTTTTGTTTTTCATATCAGTGCAGCTTCCATCTGAAATGAACACTAGAGGCAGTGAAACACCAACAACTTTTATTCCTTTTCACTCAAATTATGTTTGTTGGGTAAGATTATTGATTAATGAAGATTTATTTTCACACTGTTCCTTGCACAATACTATGTTACCTCAAGACACATGATTTGTAAACTAATACATTTTGACATTTGCATCAAATAACCAGCTCCATATGTATGGCTTTTCTAATGTAGTAAACTTGCTCGGTAGCTCACCAGGTACAACATTACACTTGCAATGCGGAGCACTCCGGCCCAGTGAAACATGTAGGGTGGAGTTTAGTGTAGGTGGTGTGTTATTTTCAAACTCGATTAAGCATTAACCTTTTAGCTCCACTCACTCACTGGACATTTAATTTACGAACTGCTGCGATACGTACATGAACCAAATTCACATTTGTCTGTATCTGATAAAACTGAACATGCTTTTAGTTCCACTCATTGGACATTACGCTATGAAAGTGTTACAAAATGTGCAAGAAGCCAAGTAATATTCTGCAGAAATATTGCCACAGGCACATTTTTACAATGAGCCTGGATTGTTTTGTCCAATGCCTTATGGTATATGAAGACCGTATATAATTAAATAAAGGCACATGAGAAGTTAAATTAGGGCTGCACGATAAATCGCATGCGATATTTAACGCACATCTTGTCAGTAAAGCCGGTTCTGTAATCGTTTACTGCTAAAAAAAAACCAAAAAAAACTTCACTGGTATCGGATCGGTATCGGTATCGGCCAATACTGAACCGTAGGTATCGGAATCGGTATCGGAGGTGAAAAAGGTGGATCGGAGCATCCCTAGTCAGAGCTTGTGTTGTTTCCTGTATACATCTTCATCCAAAAATTAAAATTGTCATCATTTACTTACTCTCACATTGCTGCAAACGTATGACTGTCTTTTTTTCTGAATGAGATTATAGGCATAATATTTATGCTTCTACAAGTGAAAGTGAACATGGATGGATGCTGTCAAGTTCCAAACATGACAAAAACGCACCATAACAATATGCTAAAGCCATGTGATAGCTTTTGTTTGAGAAACTGATAAAAATGTAAGCCATATGGTACTTACTTAAAAGTACTACTTTTTTAGTACTTTATGTCACAATGTCCATCGCTGTTCACTTTATTGTCCTGAAAACAAGTGTTGTATAGATATTGTGCTGAAATTCTCATTTTGCATTTTATAAAAGAAAGAAATGAGAGTAAATGATAACAGTTTTAGGTGTGAAGCAAAGTGTTTAATATGTAAACCAGGCTTAATCAAGAGCTGGTAAAAAGTGGCACGTTAATGTTGTGCTACTGTCATAGCACAAGAATGCACATTAAATGACAACCCCTGGGTTTTCAAATAGCTACTCATTCTTATAAGCAGTGTGAGGGGAAGTGAATCACAGTATTGGCTCAAATTTCCCCGTATGATGTTGTCAGTCTTTCAGGATACAGTCAACATGCTACTTGGGTGCTTTGTATGTATTTTATCTGAAGGAGACAACCTTCAAACTCTGAATCTTTCTGTGTGATTATACATTGTGGAACACAAACAAGATTCAAGTCAATGTAAAAGTTCCTCCTATAGCCTGTAAAAGGTTTTTAGAGAGCTGAACAATGCATTCCTTGTTAAAGGATTTCATGCAATAAGCCGATGAACCCAGATTATGTGTGATTTTGATGTTTTTTTAATGAACTATACTGGAATTTAAGAGATATCGTTTTTTAAATCGTGCCTTCTTGTCTGATGAACTTGATGAAGCCAGATAAGTCTGATAAGAAAGTGTCTGCTAAGAAAGAATGGACAGACTAATGAATTATTTAAAAGTTAATGTAGCCTACATCTTAATGTGTGGTAATGGGGCCACATCAATTATTGCTTTTATGAAATGGTTGCAACATCTACACTGGTTTATCACAAGAAATTGTTTGGCTAAACGGCTTGTGTGTTGAAATACTTTTCACACTATTGATTCTGATTAAGTATTTAAACTAGAAATTGTGGCTTGGGCTGTTTCCAATTGGCTAATAGAGTAACAAGCTTCAGTTTGTTTGTGTAAGACATACATATTTTTACAATATATTCAGCTGGACTTTCACAGAGTTGCTTAAAAATACTGCAGGTTTCAAGAGATATTTAAAATTGATCGTAATTTTCTGTCAGTCTGACTTCAGTGTCTTTGTTCTTTTCTGTTTCTTTTGTTATATGAATTTTGTGAAAACTTCGGAAAATGTTTTGAAGTGATTTATACTGTAATGTGACTTCATGTGCATTGATAAATTGTCATTCCTGCTCACAAATAAGACCAGGAAATGTGTATTAAGACAGTAATTGGGGTCAGTTATGATTTTATATAAATGTTTTAAGTGTTTTTGCAAAACAAGATGTTCCAAGGTCTGTAAGGTGACATTGTTATTATGAGTTCAGTGGATTTTAGGTGTTACTAGTTAACATCAGTGACTTAAACTAGATTTTAAGATGCTAGCTTTACTAACAAAAAAGTGCCTTGGTATTATATTTTGGACAGTGTACAGTCATATTCTTGGAAGTACCTTGTACTACCATGCAAATTTAAGTACTCCATCACTCACCATATCAAAGTACTTTGTTTTTACAATCTGATATCATTGCTGTTCCACGGTACCTCCACTATACTTTTTTTTTTTTTTTTTTTTTTGTAGGATGCTCTCCAATAATGCAGTTTTGTCAGGTTTATCTCACTTCTGGGGACAAATTATGGCTATCCACAGGTTTATTGAATCTGTCATTTCATAATTCATTAGGCCAGGTGCTCTTGCACATTGAAAAGCAGTATTATCAGGTTGCTGAATGACATCAGTAAATCTCAATCTGTAGGCATAGAATCGCTCCCAGCTCCTGAAACAGACCCGACACTCCTCAATTGATGATTTTTTTTTTTTTTAGCATGAGGCCATAAAAGACTGTTTGTAACAAGCGTGAACCACTATTTTTGTCTGATTGCGGGGCCATGTTCATTTAAGCATTGGGGTCGCACACAAACCCATTTCTCCAGAGACAAAACTGCTCCGCTTAGTAAGTCTGTCATACTGTGGTGCCTCATTAGCTCCTTACAGAGCGCTTCATACAGCTGGCAGCG